TAGTATACTCTCTCACATTTCATAGCTAACTGAAATAAATAAATTTTGTGAAATCAAGCTTGACCAACAAAGAGGCAGAAAAATGCAGTTGAGACAGTCAAATGTCGGTAAGTTCCTTTGTGAGCCAATCAAAATTAAGATCATTCATAAAATTAATTCATGGCGTATTCATAGGATAATTATTGGTAAAAATCAATTGGATTAACAACTTCTAATATATAGAAAATCCAGTGCATTTTGGTAACACTATGTTCCATCAATGGCTTTTATATCATGTTGCTTAGCAACAAAAGTATAACCTAATATTGTTGTTAGTCTATGTACTGAAAGTATAAAATGAAATGTATAGACAACAAAACTGGAAAAAATGTTTGTTGGTTTCTTAATTTAGAATCTCCATTGATTAAAGAGGTTAGTTTTTTATTAAAAATGTTGAAGAAAATAGCTTAATTCAGAAAGGATTTAAGTTTGAAATTGAATTAATATTTTTACTTTCATGATGAATTTTATGTATTTGGCTCTAGGCTAGGTGATCCCACACTACATCTTTACTTCAGGCTTATTATACCAACACTCACTACACTAATAAGATTTCCCGGCACCCCACCCCCACTCACGGCTCCTTGCACCCCCGTCACTAAAATCATAATGGGCAGACAGTAATCAAACTATTCTATCTGGATAAATGCATTCTGGCTTTTATAACTCCTCCTATTTCAAGAAATAAAGTGTGACATGACACACACTAGCTTTTATATAGGTTAGGTGGAAGCAAGCATATGTGAGTATATTGTTTCGTATAAGTGTTAACATTAAACAATAAAGAAATGATAACCTGTTAAAGTTTTGTTATTCTTTTATAAAATGTTTCCTGTTTTAATTCTACAAGTAATTACTTTTAATATTCTCAGTATAAAATTAATCTAAATTATTATATAAATTTTTACCTTATACAGCCCAGTAATCATCTGTAATGTAATGAGCTTCTAGTTCAAGAAAGTTTTTGGATCCTGACAATGTATAATTAACCTCAGTGCTTTTCTTTGAATGTGTAGTGTATGAAGCTGGTAAAATAAATAATCTCACAAACACAACATTACTGGTACTGGTCTAAGTTAAATTCAACCTTATTTGTGTCTTAGTTTTAGCTGAAGAATTAATGTAAACTAACTTGATCTGAGAATAATACTCCTTTAATTAATTGTGACACACATCGTTGTAGATAGGTTTAGGAATAGATGCAAGTAATTAAGGCTGGGCCTGTTTAGTGTATAATACATCATCCTCCAAGGTAGAGGGTGTGTGAGGGTCACTTACATTACTAGAAGCCTTAAGTCATATGCATTTCCAGATTTGTCACTAATAATATAAAAACAAATATAGCATTCTAAAACTTTTTATAAAGATTTCATTAACATATTACAAAACAAATCAGCAGTTTGATAACTAATATACATAAATTGGAACAAATTTTACTTATGTAAATTTGGCTTGAGTCTGTTATTGCAGCATATTTGCAGCTTGACAATCAAAGTTTATTTTTTAAAGGATCATCACATTTTTAAAAAAAGACACTGGTACTTCATGGGTTAATTTTTTTAGGAATATGCAAAGTTATTGGTAACTGAGAACCCAGGGAATTTCACTCAAATATTTCCATGTTTACACACACACACATTGTGTCATACAGGTATGTTTACATATAGAACTTTTGGTTCATACACATAAAAATAGTAAGAAAAAATGCATTAATTTTAGTGTTCTTACACTTATTAACTTCAGAGTAATCACCAATATCAAATATATTTATATTTGATACTTGTTTTAATGACTAGTTTGTGTTAATGGAAATGGCCTTTCTTTGATTACAACATTAGAATGATGCTGTTCAGTACCATTGTGAAAAGGGAAATCAGAGTTTAAGTTAATATGTAATTAATCATAAGGTTACTACAGGATGAATAAACCTACCCACCCCTAACCCCATTACATCAGTTATAATAATAATAGCCTTGGGCTAACTGCAGCCACATTATGGTGGTGGAGTAATCACTTTCTATTAAACAAACAGTCACAGAAACCATATGGTGGTGGAGTAATCACTTTCTACTAAAGAAACAGTCACAGAAACCATATGGTGGTGGAGTAATCACTTTCTACTAGACAAACAGTCACAAAAACCTTATAGTGGTAGAGTAATCACTTTCTACTAGACAAAGGTCACAGAAACCATATGGTGATGGAGTAATCACTTTCTACTAGACAAACAGTCACAAAAACCTTATAGTGGTAGAGTAATCACTTTCTACTAGACAAACAGTCACAGAAACCTTATAGTGATGAAGAAAACCCCTTTTTTAGAAAACAACAGTCACAGAAACCATATGGTGGTGGAGTAATCACTTTCTACTAAAGAAACAGTCACAGAAACCATATGGTGGTGGAGTAATCACTTTCTACTAAA